CCATTATCCCACGCTTCCCCCCCCCCCATTATCGGTACCCCTCTTCGTATTGCAAATGCATGTGATTCTGCCCCATCGTCCATCCTGAATCTGAATCCATACCATCCAATCCTGGCCAGTATCGACCCCCCCCGCCATCTTCTGCAACAAATGTTATGCGCGCGCACCCTTGCAAAACAACGGGACGAAGTGCACACGCGCGCGTTGTCGCGGGCTCATCCCGAAATTATTCAACAACCTTCGGTTTCGTAAAGACTTCAAAATCGAATGTCCAACACACATCTAACAACAACGAGTTGTTTCGCAACGCTGATTTTCAAACAGAACTTGCGCGCGAACTTCTGCTAACTGTTAAGTAAACCATGCGTGCTTCAACATTTTCAAAAATGCTACCAAAAGGTTTCGTGCGCGAGTGTCGGCATCGTTCGCACCCTTTTTCGTGCGTGCTGTAGCGACAATACTTTGCAAAACGTGGGACAAAATGCCCGCGCGCGCGTCGTCGCGCGCGCACGCCGCAATCCTTCAAACACCTTCGGTTTCGTAAGGATTTCAAAACCGACTGTCCAACAAACATATGAGGAACCACCCCGTTTCGCAAAATCAGTTGGCAACTCAAACAAGTGTGCGCGCTCTTGCGAAGTCAAAAAAACGTAAGTTTTCAACACGGTCATTGATATCTGGCAAACGAGAGCCACTCGCGCCGGATGTCGAAATCATTCGAACGCCCTTGCGCGTGTGCTGGGGGGTGCGATCCGCGTCAAATAATACCATGCGGGCCACTCGCGCGCGTCGGCCGCGCACGCACGTCGAGCTCTTTCCAAAACCTTCGTCACCGACGCGAGATCGCCGTCTTCGTGGTCGGCGTGATCAGCTTCGGCGCCGTCACAGGCCGCGCCGCCGCCGCCATCATCATCATCATCATCATCATCATCATCATCATCATCATCATCATCATCATCATCATCATCATCATCATCATCATCACCATCACCATCACCATCATCATCATCATCACCATCATCATCATCATCATCATCATCATCATAACCCGTATCGCTACAATCACCATCGTGTCTACCACTGCCGACATTGCCATGATACCGCGCCCGCCAAAGTCGCCGATTCGCAGTGAAATGCCCGCTGGAATATGCCCAGCGGTCAGCGCCACCGCGGCCGCGCCGGTCGCGCCAAACTAGCTGGCCGCTGCGCGCGCGAGCATGCGCGGGCTAGCGCGGTCGCAGAGATGCACCAGCCAACACCAAGCACTCATCGTAATCGCCGCCGCATGGGTTTTGCAAACCAAGTTGCGGGTGGGTGGGTGGGGTGGTTGCGTGAGCACTGGAGTTGACAACTTACTGCGAACAGGAATTCATTACACCATAATCGTGTCCCCGCGGCCATAACCCTAGCAAATTACGCTGTGCTAGCAAATTTAACAACATGTGCGTCCCCGAAACCACGATCCCTAGTAACTTACTCGTTTTTCTCGTCTTCGAGATAATAAAGTTTCGCAAATTACGTTGGCAAGTTTCGCGCTCTCGAAGCCACAATCCTTCACAACAAAAAGCTCGCGAGACGGTACAGGAGGCCTCCGAGACGGCCCAAGAGTGTTCCAAGGCGCCCGAGATGGCCCCAAAACGGCCCAAGAGGCTCCCAAGGGGCTCCCAAGAGGCCCCCAAGAGCGCTCCAAGAGCATCCCCACGAGGGGCACAAGAGGCCAACATCTGCGACTCGTCTTCGGTGTGTGATGGATTTTGGCACGCTCATATCTCCAGTGGCCCCCGTTCGGAGTTCCGACGCTGCTCCACGACGGCGCCCACGTGTCACAGCATACCAATGGAGAGAGAGAGAGAGAGAGAAAACAAAAAAAAAAGGAAGAGGGGGCTGGCGGCAGGGAGCAAAGCCCTTACGGATTGGTGTCGCTAATTGGCAACGTCGCCAATACCCGATGTGAGCGCCTACGTTCGCGGAGCCTGCTTGATTAACGCTGCGGCTGAAAAAGGAGAAAATGAAGCCTGAAATCTCAATCAAATAGGCGTCGAAACTGGCCAGGAATTCAAGCCTCAAACAAAACACATACATGAAAAAGACAACCAGCAAGTGCCCAACTTAAGGCCGCAAACGAAGGCCAGAATTCGCCCTGATGTTAATTAACTTTGCCAACAGATGAATAAGTAAGACCGGAAGGCAGCTCTGGAAGTGAACCTAGCAATTCGCCTGTCAATCCAATCTCAAATTCATCTGGAAAAATTGGGTTCCCAGGGTAGCGCCTAAAACTTAAATTGCTGTTGTCGTCGCTTTGACTACCATCGCCACCACCAACAGCAGTATCATCATATTCGTCAGCCCTGATGCTGCCGTCAGCATCATCCCTCGCCCTCCCGAGCAATGGATCTGCATGAGCATGGGTCGCGCGTTTGTCCTTCCGCCGAATTGTTCGAACAATTCCGATGAGACTCGGGCGCGTCGCGCCGCGATGCCCGCATTGCTGCACCATCGCCAGAAGCATGCGCGCATCGATCCTGTGGCACGCGCGACGCGCGCGCCACCACCGCAAAATCTACGCGCAAAACATGAAAACGTGCAACCAACCAAAGATGCACACACCAAAACCAAAAGCAAAAACACAAAAAACATGCTCAACAACATGCATCTGGAAAACCTCTTATCAAGCGGGGATCCCGCTTTCATAGCAATGCGCCGTGACGACAAGAGTAACCTGTTGTGGTGCTCGGCTGTGCGGGTCGCGGGGAAGGTCAAATCCAGACATCCACGCGCGCCAGCTGGTGCCGGTGGGACCCCTGCATGCCCGCACCAAAGGTTACCCCGGCGAAAGGTCGCTCTTACGCGCCGCCGGCCTCAGCGGGGCCCCTCGCAGCTGGGCCGGGGGGCGAGCCGGGCCCTCAGCTCGTCGTCCATCTGGGACGCCTCCTCCGCGCTGAACTCGAAGAGGCGGCCTGGGTGCCCGCGCGCCGCGTCGCCCGCCGCGCGCAGGCCGTCGAAGAGGGCGTGCGCGCAGGCCTGCAGCGCCGTAGGCCTGTGGTGGAGGAGGAGGGGAGGACGGGAAGGAGGAGGAGGAGGAGGAGGAGGAGGAGGAGGAGGAGGAGGAGGAGCAGGAGAAGGAGGAGGAGGAGGAGGAGCAGGAGAAGGAGGAGGAGGAGGAGGAGGAGGAGGAGGAGGAGGACGAGGAGGAAGAGGAGGAGGAGGACGAGGAGGAACGCGCGAAAGCCCCAGGGGATCCCTCGTCCTCCTGGCGCGAGGCTCCCAGGGTCACCCAGCTTCGGCGGTGGTGCCTCCGCGGCGTGCGGCGCGCGGCTGTCTTCGCGCCCTCTCGCCGCCGCCGTGGGCAAGGTAAGGCGCTTCCGACCCAGGCCCCGGGGACGCGCGATGATCTTCGCGCCCCTGGATGACCTACGTAGAGGTTCGAGGGTCGATGTCTATTGGCGTCTCTGGCCGCTCTTCGGCCTCTGGATGTCTCTCTCGGGGACCTCCAAGGGACCATCAGAGACCCACGTCTGGACACGTCCGTCTTGCCTCCCGGGAAAGAATTGGCAGCGCGCGCTCGGGGAGGAGAAGAGGCCGAAAGGCCTGTGGTCGGGCACATACACCAGCAGTGACGCGATGAAGTCGACAGCTTCCCGCGAGGTGTTGGGGCGAAACACCTTCCTCAAGGACTGCGGCCTGATGTTACGAAACTGGAACTCTTGGTAGTTCGGGTTCATGTCGTAGACCTGCTCGCGGGACGGCGTCCCGAGAACCTTGATGATCTCGACAAGCTGCGAGACGTTGTTCTTACCGACGAACAGTGGCTGGCCAAGCATCACCTCGGCGGCCACGCAGGCCGTCGACCAGATGTCGATCTTCGTGCCGTACTGCGTGGCGCCGAAGATCAGCTCTGGCGCGCGGTAGTAGCGGGAGCTGATGTATGCAACGCTGGACTCGCCCTTCCAGGATCAGTCAACACCGCACCGGGACATCGGATCGGACCGGAACATGCGTCGGACCGGCCTGCATCGGCACGGAGTCGAGATCGAGTCGGATCGGCCGCGCCAGGATACACAACAGGGCCACGCAACTGTCGGGCCGCATCGGACCTCCAGAAATTCGAAGTCGAATCGATAATGCTCGATGTCGAACCGAATCGAATCGAAAATCTAAGACCTAAGTCGAATCGAGTCGAATCGAAACCAACCGAGATCGATAATTCTCAAATCGGATCGAGCGGGTCGAAGTGGGCCCCGCCTTCTGCAGCCGCTTGGCGGAACCGAAATCGCACAGCTTCAACGCGTCCGTCCTCGCGTCGACGAGTATGTTCTGCGGCTTGATGTCCCGGTGGCAGACGCCCACCGCGTGGATGTACGCACAACCGCGGCACATCTGGTAGGAGTAGAGCTGCACGAGGTGGTCGGGTACGGGCTTCCTCAGCTTGGTGTACTGCCTGACGACTCTGTGCAGGGTGTCCGAGCAGTACTCCATGACCAGGTTGAGGTACGTCTCCCCGGTCTTGTCCTCCGTCGTGAAGAAGAAGCGCTTCAGCTCGACGACGTTCGGGTGCCTGAGCTCCTGGATGATCTCCAGCTCCCTGTTCTTGTAGCGCTTGTCCTGGAGCACTTTCTTGATCGCCACGTGCTCCCCGGTCTCGTTCACCTGTGGGGACCCTTTAGCAAAACGCCCTTTCATGAAAGCTGTCAGGTGCACTTCACGTGCGCACGACACCGCATTCCGAGTGGACCCCAGCGGGGTAGCCAATCGACGTTTAAAAACCAACGACTGTATTGGGCGAGACGCAGGTCGACTGGCGAAACCGACCGGGGCCTGCACCAGCACACTCGAACGCCAGTGTCGAATGAGATGGTGCTGGTTCCCTCGGTAGACCTGTCTTGGTGGGCGTCCCCTCCATGCCACGGATCTCACCCGGCCTCCTCCTCCTCCTCCTCCTCCTCCTCCTCCTCCTCCTCCTCCTCCCTCCTCCTCCTCCCTCCTCCTCCTCCTCCCCCTACTCCTCCTCCCCCTCCTCATCCTCCTCCTCCTCCTCCTCCTCCTCCTCTTCCTCCCTCCTCCCTCCTCCTCCTCCTCCTTCTCCTCCTTCTGACCAGGACTTCGAGGAGAAGCCGGCCGTGGCGACGAGGCCTCTCTCCAGGACGAGCAGCAGTACTGGCACACCTTCTCAGACCTCCGGCGCCATGTTTCTCGCAACGTGGACCCCAAGAGGTCGAGACCACTCATCTGGGATGAAGTCGGGCCTGTCCCTCTACAGGAGGGATATTCGAAAATAGTCAAAAAATAGTCTGGGGACTATATTTTGACTATTTTGGGGCATTTTTGGAGCATGTGTGGGGTATGTTTAATTCTTCGCCCCAAATCCCCCTGTAGGGGGACAGGCCCGACTTAAGTCTGGGACCGTCTGCCTATCCTGAGCCTTCGTTCGACAGCCCTGGGCACCCCGTGCGGACCTCCCAAGAACCGAGCATTACGACAAACATCCGCAGTGATCCTGTCCACGAAACGCGAAGAGGCCCAGGCCTAGACATGCGGTGCCCTGTTTTTTCAGTGCGGGGCCTCCACAATTCCCGACCCCTGTCCCCGGGGCCAGCTTTTCATCGCGAGTCGTTCGTTGACGGTCCCGACGCCTGGCGAGGACCCCTCGAGGCCGAAAGCGGCCGAAAAACCCTGGTCGTGACTGTGTCGAACGACGCCAGACTGTCTGCGAGTTCTCCCCCTCGGATCACCACGGCCCGGTAGACGACGCCGAACGAGCCGCTGCCCAGCGCCTTGTCGGCGGTGTACGTCCAGGTCCCCGCCGGCGGCGCGGCCGCATTGGTGGGCGGGCTGCTCGGGCAGAAGCTCTCGCCGTCTCGGGCGCGGCCCTTGCTGACGGGGCTGGCCTCGGGCGGGGGGGCTGCCAGCAGTGCCCTCGGCCCCAGGACCCCCTCGCGCCGTGCACAGAGCAACGACGGACTTGCTGTCGTTCCCTGCGCCTCGGCACCCAAGAGCGCTTCAGCACCGGACCTCAGGACCGTCAAAGAGAGGACTCGGCACGAAGAGCCGGCCCCGGGGGAAAGGGCCCAGACCTCTGGAGGTCCGTCGGGGATGGACAGAACCCCCTTCAGCAAAACGTGGCTTGTAGTGAAAGCGACCTGGGGCCCACACCTGGCGGGGGCAAGCCTGGAAAGTGACGGCCGCGGCGCCCTCTCGAGAACAGAAAGCGGACAATTCACTGATCCACGTGCCAGGGTGGGGGTTCTGTCCAACCCCGAGTCCGCGTCATGAAAAAGCCCGACGTCGGGGGTCCGGGGCCCCACCCCGAACCGCATTCTGCTCGAGCCGGGCACGCTCGCCGAGTTCTGGGGCCCCGGGCCCCGACAGGTCGGCGCGGCTGGACAGAAGTGGCGCAGAGGGGCGAAGTCCACGGGGCTCCAAGCCGCGGTCCCGCTCGGGGCCGCAAGTTTTTCGCAACGTCGGATCTCAAGGTAGGAGGCGGAGGAGGAGGAGGAGGAGGAGGAGGAGGAGGGCCATCAAGGTCTTCGAGCGCTTCTGGTCCGGTCAGGGGAGCCAGCACCTCCCACCGCTGCCCCATCCAGAAACCGATTGCATGTGCCTTTGGCGCGACGCTGTCGGCCCGACCCCCCCCAACGCCCTGGGAGGGCCAATCGGAGACGCACAGGGGCGCATGATGGGTGTCGATCCCCCCCGTGCCAGGAGCAGGAGCAGGAGGAGGAGGAGGAGGAGGAGGAGGAGGAGGAGGAAAAAGGAGGAGGGAGGAGGAGAAAGGAGGAGGAGGAGGAGGAGGAGGAGGAGGAGGAGGAGGAGGAGGAGGAGGAGGAGGAGGAGCAAGAGGAGGAGGACGAGCCGACCGACCCCCGTCTCCCTCTCCTCCCTTGCCCCCTCTCCTTTTCCCTTGTGCCGGCCGCCCTCGGCCAGCAGTTGCGTCTCCAAGAGGCGATCTCCACAGGTTCGCCTTCTTTTCCGCGAGGCCGCCTCCTTTTCCTCCCCCCCCTCCTGACAGGTGAATAATCCGCCCGCGAGGAGCATAACATCCCTTGCATGGTGGCTTATCTTAAATTCGACAGTTTACAACGCCCCAAAGTGGATTCGGTGTAGAGCATGGCCCCCAGGACTGATGCTCAGGGCCGTCCCCTGAGAGCTGGTGGGGGCGCCACACCCGCGACCAGCAGGAGGAGGAGGAGGAGGAGGAGGAGGAGGAGGAGGAGGAAGAGGAGGAGGAAGAGGAGGAGAGGGAGGGCCATCTTTCCCAGGCCGCCCCTCCTGGCAGGGAGCAGCTTGGGGGGGGGGGGGGGCCGGGGGACTAGCTCGGACACGGCGGGGGGGCCTCTCGAGCTGGCAGCGGCGAGGCGTCGCCGATGCATCGGCGAGGGGGCCCCGACTCAGCGAAACCGCGCGCTCCCAGGCGTGGGGTGAGCGTTCGGGCCCCCGGCGGCGATCCGTGGGCGACTGCGGGATCGATGCGTCCGCCCCCTCGGAGCCATTCCCCCCGCCCCCCCGGAACGCTCTCGGCGGGGCGCAGCCGCTGGGAAGCCGCCGAGGACCGACGGAAACGCCCGAAAGCCTTGAACCTCGATCCTGTTCCCCCCATAGCGTTGCCCCTGATCCTGTGTGCGGGAGGGGAGGATAAGAGAGCCAACTCAACCCGAGATCCGTAGGATGAATGAAGACGATAGCCGGTTCCACCTCTGAGGCGAAGACAATCTCAGTGCCAGCGCCTGAGCCGATAGGGCAGCAGACGAGGGATCGTCGTCGTCGAACAGCGGTACACCTGAGGTAAGCGTACTCGATCGGAGTATAAGAGGCAATCTGCTTTTCTAGGCTGACACAGAAAAGCTGGAGCACACAAGACAGGCGAGGATACGAAGCTCGGAAGAGCAGGCGGCAAGCATGCGCCTCGCCCTCGTCCGAGGAAGAGGGAGGAAGAGAGGAGACGACGGAGGGCACACGCACACACACGCACACACACACACACGCACACACACAAACACAAACACACACACACACAAACACACACACACACACACGCACACACACACACGCACACACACAAACACACACACACACACACACGCACACACGCACACACACACACACACACCACACACACACACACGCACACACACACAGATCCCCTTCCTCGAGCCCTTCCTTCCCCCCTGCTGCCTCCACGGTGGCGAGACCAGCGGGGCTGCCGTGGGGCGCCCGGTTCAGCGGGCTGGCCTCCGCAGAGAAGAAGCCGCCAGGCCCGCGCTGCGAGGCGTTGTAGCACTGCGGGCTGGCCTTCGCGGCGACGGCATGTGGCAACGACGACAACGGTGGCAAAGTTCGCTGCCCTGGGCTCGCCTCCGTGAAGACTCTTGCAGGAAAGGACTAACAATAGTAAGAAGAAGAGAGGAGGAACAATTATAAAGGGGAAGAAGGAAAAAGGACGCCAGATGGCTTCGTCGTCGAAGGGGGAGCGGAAATGTGAGTTGTTTCGTGGAGGTTTTCTCGCCTCGGGGTGCTTTCCAACAGTTGTGCCTCGTCGAGACTTTCCGCGGGTGCCTGGATCGTCCCGAACGGCCGCCGGAAGCCCGAGACATGACCCGAAAACCATCAGGCGTCGAGGGGCCCGCGTTGCGACGCGAGGCGGCACTTTGGGCTGGCCCCAGGTGAGCCAGCGAGCCACGACGACGGCGACGACGGCGACGACGACGACGACGACGGCAGCCGACAGCGCCAACGGCGGCGGCCCTCGCGCCGACAGCGCCAACGGCGGCGGCCCTCGCTGCAGAGGGCTCGCCTCCGTCGAGAAGTCCGAGAAGAAGCTGGAGGGCCCGCGCTGCACCGCGCCGCGGCACTGCGGGCTGGCCTCTGGCGGGCCGGCGACCGACAGCGGCGGCGACCACGACGACCACCACCACTAGCCCCACCGCCACGACGACCACAACGACGACGACGACGACGACCACTACGACGACGACCACCATCAGCACCACCACGACGACCACCACCACGACGACGACGACCACGACCACGACCACCACCACCACCACCGCCACCATCTCCACCACCTCCACCACCACCACCGCGGCCACCACCACCACCACCTCCTCCTCCACCACCACCTCCGCCACCACCACGACGAGCGTGCGGCCGAGGGCCGCCCGAGCAAATGCCTCCGAAGGCCTCCGAGGACCTCCGTCCGAGGGCCTCCGTCCGAGGGCCCTCGTCCGAGGCCTCCGAGGGCCTCCGTCCGAGGGCTTCCCGAGGAAGCCCCCCCGCAGCGGCGGCGGCAGGCCTCGGCGGACGCCCAGAAGCAGGGCGCGGCGCGGGGGCCCAGCCGCGCGGCCAAGGGGTCCGTCGGCTGCGGCGGCACCACGAACATGAGCAGCAGCACCTGCGGGAAGAGGAGGAGGAGGAGGAGGAGGAGGAGGAGGAGGAGGAGGAGGAGGAGGAGGAGGAGGAGGAGGAGGAGGAGGAGGAGGGGGAAAAGGACGGCCAACATCACTCGCGCATCCGCCAGCTTCGACCGCCTCGGCCGATACCTGGCCGTGCGCAGTACCGCTGGCGCGGGCGCGCCGTCATCCTCTGGCACGCGGAGCCAACGGCGGCGCCGCGCCCGACGGCTGCTGCCCAGCCGCGGTCGCGCCTGCACTTCGGGTGCTGGCGATGCGGCCGAGCCACCCCTAGTCCCGGAGGCTACCAAGGTACCCAGAGATCAAACGCATTGAAAAAATCAAGACGGACGTTTTTCATCAATTTCGGCCCCTGGAGGCCCTCGCCGTGCCCCGGGGGCGTCAAAAAACATCTCAAGATGAAAAACTGGTCCTGGGGAGTGGGTCGAGACTTCAGGGGACCGCATATGGAGAAAATCATGACATCGGATCTCTGGGTATGGCTCCCCACACGCAGGGTTCTTCCACCACTGCCTCGCCCACCATCTCTGACACCTCAGCCCCAACTATAGTTGGGCTGAGACGTCAGAAATCGTGGCCGCCCGTAGCCGCTATCGCGCGGCGTAGTTAACTGCGCCGCACGATGGCGGCCACCAGCGGGAGAGCGGCATCGCGGCAGCGCCCTCTGTGGGCAGCCGCTAACGAACCGCACAGCCCATCAAGTGCTCAATGCACGTTCCCTGCTTGCTGTCCATGCCGTCTGCCGCTCGTACTAGGTCGGGCATGTCCTCCTACAGGCGGATTCTCGATGAAAAATAAAGATAATCAACAAATGCTCAAAAATAATCAGAAAAGTCGTCCCCATACTATTTGTTGACTATTTTAGAACATTCCTCCTGTAGAGGGACGTGCCCGACTTAACGCTCGTACCTCCAACGCAATCCCTGCGCTTCTCTCTCCATTGCCCACGCCAACTGCTGCCATCATGGTCCGCTCACCTCCGCTTGCGGCGTCCCTCCTGGCGGCTGCGTGCGCTGGTTTACGGTCACGAGTGTGGCCCCCCGCCGCTCGGGATAGAAGCACCAGCAACTGCACGACGCCCCGGTGGCCCACGACGTTTCCCCGTTGCGTCCAAGATCTTTCTGCAGTTTGCTTGCGGCTGCTTGCTGTTACACGTTGTACGCGTTGTAGCCGTTATGCTTGAAGGTGCCATGCGTATCGGTCAAGGACTGACCAGCGTACGAGCATAGAGGAGGAGGAGGACGAAGGAGGGGGAGAGAAAAGGATGATGGTGATGGTGATGGTGATGGTGATGGTGATGGTGATGGTGATGGTGATGATGGTAATGGTGTTGGCGATGGTGATGGTGACGATGATGATGAGGAGGATGATGATGAGGATGATCCCCGCGTCTGAAGGGGTCAGGAGCTCCTAGCTCGTATTGCCCCTCGGATGATGATGATGATGATGATGATGATGATGATGATGATGATGATGATGATGATGAAGATGAAGAAGAAGAGGAGGAAGAGGAGGACTGAGATCTCCGAACGCTTCGTCTCCTGCTTCGTCTCCTCATGCTTATCCTCCTCATCCCCACATTCCTTCTCCTCATCCTCTCCGCTCCTTCGCCTGCTCCTCCTCCTCCTCCTCCTCCTCCTCCTTCTCATCTTTCGTCCTCATCCTGCTCTATGTGCCCCTTCTCGTCCGCACCCTCATCGTTATCTTCATGTTCCTGCCCCCCTTCTCCTTTACTCCATATTGGGCGCAGGCTCACACTGTGTATACATATATATATATATATATATATACAAATCCATGAATTATATATACATATTGATATACGAACACGTGTGTTTATATGTGCATCTATAGTATGTACACCCGCTCTGCCACGCAGCTGGCCGATACACAACCAGTCCGGGACCGTCCATTCTGCCAATCATGACACAGTGCAGCGACAACAGTCTTCGTATCAGCATCGGCGTTTGGCGTCGACGATGCGAAATTCGTGGCGGGAAGGAGCCTGGCGCACACATCTCGCGAGAGAAGGCGAGATGTCGCTCTCGCCTCGGCGCCGCGGACACTTACCCTGAGAGTTGCGCTCCTGGTTGGGTGCGACGCAAAACTTTTGCTCGCCAATTCGCCGGCGGCGGCATCGGGCACGAGCGGGCGAGACGCCACTTGCCTCGCGGCCAGCAGCGCATACAGATTTGGATGGAGTAACCCGCACACTCACGCCTACACGGAGGAGGAGCGGGAAGGGCGAGGCGTCGAAGGCGAAGTGTTGGTGCGCGTTGTCGGACCCCGTTGGGGGCTCTCGTTCGAACGCGGAGACCCACCCGACAACACAAAACCCATAGCTCCCCGTTTCGACCCCGAGATAAATCTGGGGACCGCGTGGTATAGCTCATGATACTTGTCACTCGAAAGGCGTTGTGGGTGAGGGCGCGCGAAGGCGGGCGAATCGACGCCTTCGCCCATGCCCCGTGCAGGTGGCGATCCCGCTCCGGTGCGGCGCTGGCTCGCTCGCGGAATCGCGGGAAAACAGCAGCGGCAGAGAGCCGCGCGAGATCGGTCGGAACGCTGCTTTTCGTCCAGCACCGCGCAGATCTTCTGTGGGAGTGGCAGTGCTGCTTCGGCGCCCACACATGCTTTGTTCCCAACCATCCTGTGGTGTTGGGTCCTCGTTTTGAAGAGACGGCGCCCCGCGTTCCTCACCTCCTCCTCCTCCCCCCCCCCTCCCTCCTTCCATCATCATCATCATCATCATCATCATCATCATCATCATCATCATCATCATCATCATCATCATCATCATCATCATCATATCATCATAATCATCATCATCACACACGATTTCGGCACACCCCTCACACGTTTCGTGGCCCCATAGGGAGCTCCACCGAAGGCCCCAGTGGCAGGGTCCGCATGCCTCCCCACCACCCATTTCGGCACACCCTCACAGCTTTGGCCCCATAGGGAGCGAAGGCCCACACGTGCTCACACGCTTCGTGGCCCCTAGGGAGCTCCACCGAAGGCCCCAGTGGCAGGGTCCGCATGCCTCCCCACCACCCATTTCGGCACACCCCTCACACGTTTCGTGGCCCCATAGGGAGCTCCACCGAAGGCCCCAGTGGCAGGGTCCGCATGCCTCCCCACCACCCATTTCGGCACACCCCTCACACGTTTCGTGGCCCCATAGGGAGCTCCACCGAAGGCCCCAGTGGCAGGGTCCGCATGCCTCCCCACCACCCATTTCGGCACACCGCTCACACGCTTCGTGGCCCCATAAGGAGCTCCACCGAAGGCCCCAGTGGCAGGGTCCGCATGCCTCCCCACCACCCATGTCGGCACACCCCTCACACGTTTCGTGGCCCCATAGGGAGCTCCACCGAAGGCCCCAGTGGCTGCGTTCGCATGCTTCCCCACCACCCATTTCGGCACACCCCTCACACGTTTCGTGGCCCCATAGGGAGCTCCACCGAAGGCCCCAGTGGCTGCGTTCGCATGCCTCCCCACCACCCATTTCGGCACACCCCTCACACGTTTCGTGGCCCCATAGGGAGCTCCACCGAAGGCCCCAGTGGCAGGGTTCGCAGGCCTCCCCACCACCCATTTCGGCACACCCCTCACACGTTTCGTGGCCCCATAGGGAGCTCCACCGAAGGCCCCAGTGGCAGGGTTCGCATGCCTCCCCACCACCATTTCGGCACACCCCTCACACGTTTCGTGGCCCCATAGGGAGCTCCACCGAAGGCCCCAGTGGCAGGGTCCGCATGCCCCCCCACCACCCATTTCGGCACACCCCTCACACGTTTCGTGGCCCCATAGGGAGCTCCACCGAAGGCCCCAGTGGCCTGGTTCGTATGCCTCCCCAACACCCATTTCGGCACATCCCTCACACGTTTCGTGGCCCCATGGGGATTTCCACTGAAGGCCCTAGTGACTGGGTTCGCATGCGCCCCCACACCCATTTCGGCACACCCCTCACACGTTTCGTGGCACCATAGGGAGCTCCACCGAAGGCCCCAGTGGCTGCGTTCGCATGCCGCACCCACACCAATTTCGGCACACTCCTCACACGTTTCGTGGAACCACAGGGAGCTCCACCGAAGGCCCCAGTGGCTGCGTTCGCATGCCGCCCCCACACCAACTTCGGTGCACCCCTCACACGTTTCGTGGCCCCATAAGGAGCTCCACCGAAGGCCCCAATGGCAACGTTCGCATGCCGCCCCCACACCCATTTCGGCACACCCCTCAAACGGTTCGTGGCCCCATAGGGAGATCCACCGAAGACGGTACTCACACCAGCATTACTCACAACTGCATATGGTTGGGTCCTTCGCCAGGCAAATTTTCGCCGCGCCCCTCGAAGCTCTGCCGCGGGAGACAAGGGCGAAATGATGCTCTCTCTCTCTCTCTCTTGCCGCAGAGCCGCGCAAGGATGTTCTGGGAGTTCCGCTCGCGCCCGCGCGCGGCCAAAGGATTCGCCCCTTGCTTCTGCACTTGCCAGGTGGTGGTCGATCCGATGGCGCCCGCCCCCTGTATCCACCCAAGTCCATACGTCCATGTTTGGAAAGCCGAGTAAGTGACCGTGGCCTCGTCGGCATCCGCGCATGCGCAAAGCTCGTTGCCAATTCCGACATAAGACCACCTTTGGTCGCCACAATAAGCATTCGTGTACAATCGGCCCTTCCGTTGGCGCCGATGATGCTGTGCGTGGTGCTGATTTATTTCAAGCTCCTTCCACCGTGCCATCCTACTATCCACTGGGTATGCATGGTCCAAAGCATGCGCCGCCAAGATGCAGAGCTTCATCTTCACGGCCTTGACCACAAGCATCATTTGAGGGAGTTTCTGTGGAACTCACGTCATCCTCACCCCCGGCGCGAAGAGCACGAGTCCAGAGCGGCCTCCGGCACCGTTTCCGGACGGATCCGGACGGATCCGCTGGATCCGGGGACGAATCCCAAACCGGCGCCCTCGCCTGAGACATCCCCGC